AATGTTCGGAAAAAACAAAAAATAAAGAAATAAAAAGAGTAACTAGTGAGTAAAGCTATAGCCTATAAAATACAGAACCATTCTGAAAATGATACATAAAGGTTTTACATGAATCACTAAAACGGGGTGGCATACATAATCGTGCATCCAAAACAAGCAATTCACAAATAAAGATCTATCACACATTTTATCCATGCACAAACTCACCATACCTTCTGTGAAAAAAATATGTACCCCAAAAATGTTATAGCGATCCTGGTTTTGACCCAACTCTTATGGTATCCCAGACTCGGGTTTAATGCTTTCATATTATTGATTACCTCGTTCTCCCCTTGTACCTCCTTGAAATTGGCTTTAGGATTGTTGTGGTTGTGTTTGGGCAGGTTGGTCGCTTATTTTTCAAACCTTGTGCTGCTCAGAATTTTGGTCCTTCGCTCGAGCGGCACCTCTTGCGCTCGAGCGGGCTTTGCAAACACTCGGTACTTTTGCAAGTCTGCAAAATTATTGGGAGAGTGATTTCTACGTTCAAGCGGCGTTTCCTACGCTCGAGCGGGTGGGCGCTCGAGCGGCCTTTCTTGTGCTCGAGCGTTGGATTGTTGTCTGTAAAACTGTTGGATGTGTGTTTTCCACGCTCGAGTGCCACTTCGTGCGCTCGAGCGGTGAGTGTCTTGTCGATTGTGTCTTGGTGCTCGAATGGCCTTTCTTGCGCTCAAGCGGAACAACTTATTGTGTCTGACGCTTAAGCATTAACTCTTCCACTTGAGCGGACTGTATGTATATCAGATCGTGAAAATGACTTTTTACATCACTTTTTCATATCTTTTCTCCTTAAAACCTAAAGTTGAGACACTCTCTTTCCAAAATACGCTTTCTCTCTACATTTTCACCTAGTTTTAGTGATTTCTTCACCCTAATCCCTTTGATAAAAAGGTAGACCATCTCAAGATCTCCATTTTGATCTGAATAGAGTTCGATTTCGGCATCTTTGAAGTTTCACTCTTGCTTGGCTCGTCTTCTCTCTTTGAGGTGGGGATTTTCTACACTTTCATATGGTTTTTAGCTTCATTGTGTAGCAATGGTGGGATTTAAGAGTAGTTTGAACAAACCTAGGGTTTGGGGGTGAAATAAAAAGAGGGGTTTTTCGTAAATGTGAAATAAGTAGATATGGAGTTTGAATATGAGGTTATATTGTGTCAAAATTGTTGATTTTGATACTTGGGTTGATATTTGGGAAATGGGAAGTTTTACCCTAATTGGATTAAATTGTTATTTTGTATAATGGTAATGTGAAATTGGATGATTATTGATGTAAATGGTGGAGTTTGACACGTGTTGTCTCTCACCCATGGAAATTTGAATAACGTATCTGTTGAAAAAAAATTATATTTGTTTAGAAATATCTGTATTGGGCTATCGGTAGAGGATAGCCATGATTGTTGTAGAAATTGCATGAGGATTAGGTAAATTGAAATTAATCTATTGTTGGTTGTAATTGAATATGACTATAATTTATATACATTGTATATGTATGATTATTTGGGAGGAGAAATGAGATGTACTCCATTGTTTGGGAGGAGATAGGGGATGGACTCCATTAAAATTAAGTTGGCCAGAGTGTCCAGGGTGAAAGTCCCGTAATCTTCTGTACACATGGGTGCTGATCCCACGGACGAAATTTTCATAAAATGGCAGATTTGAAGTGTTTGAGTGATAATGCATTGAATTGGAAAGCCACCGAGTTCAATTGGGTTATTGAAAATGATGAAATTGACTCATGAATTGAGAATACTTAATGAACTTGAAATGAATTGAAATAAAATGAATTGAGATATGAACCTTGGCGTCTTTCGGTTATATAAATGGTGGAGATTTTGTCACCAACATTGTATATACACATTGTACTTACACATTGTACTTATATCTTTGTTAAATCTCATATACTGTGTTAGATTATTTATACTGGACTTTGGCTCACCCTATTTGGAAAAAACCATTTTCAGGTGCTGGTGACCTGCCTCTACCAGGGCAATAGCTTCAAGGGATTTTGGGAGCTAGAGCTTTTTTTTTTTTTTTTTTTTTTTAATTGTTATGAAAATACAAATCTCAGGGGGCGGGATGTAATTTCCGAAACCTCAGGGGGGTATCTGTAATTTAACCAAACCTCGGGGGGTGTATATGTAATTTGCCCTTTTTCCCTTTTTTTTAGGGCAAATTACATATACACCCCTCGAGGTTTGGTTAAATTACAGATACCCCCCTGAGGTTTCGGAAATTACATCCCGCCCCCTGAGGTTTGTATTTTCATAACAATTTACCCCCTGAGGTTTATATTTCATAACAAATTACCCCCTAATTTCTTATGCAAATATAGCATTCAGGGGGGAATTCGTAATTTCTCAAACCTCAGGGGGGTATCTGTAATTTTGTCAAACCTGGAGGGGTGTATATGTAATTTGCCCTTATTGCAACATATGCTGTAGATTCAGGATGAACATTTGTGAATGTATAATGCATGTATTAACTTTTGTAAATGAACTCTGATGAATGAAAGTACCTTATATCTATTATCCTTCTGCTTATGAGTTGGATTAATGGTATTATTTTGGGGGCATGACAAATGTACTCCAAAAATGAAGTGTATGGTGTGGATTCAAACTTGGTGCAATGTAGACCATGCCTAGAACAAATCAAGTATGCACATTTCAATTTTGGGGTGCTTTTTTGTCCCCACATGTAAATTATCATAAAACACTTGATAAACTTGCAAGTTTGCAACCCCTCTAGTGTTTTACCATTAATTGCTGCATAAAAGGGACAAGGTAGAGAATGATCCACATAGGAACACCCCCACAAAGGCTTCTCTGGACTTTGCACACTATCTAAATACTAAATCTCAACATTTCATAATTGACAAGCATGTAAGCTGCCCTACATTTACAGTACATGGACATAACTATGAATGTACTAATGTTATTATATAATTATTGTCAAAATTAGAATGAAATTTATGCACAAGCTCTCTCAAGATTCCAAAACAAAGAGCCAAAAGTAAAGTAAAAACATACCCAAGTGTCTGTTCTCAACGTGCCAATGACCCATAGGATGGATCTTGTATCAAAGTTTTGATTGTATATATAATAATAGTAATAAAAGTCACCCATAGTATCTGTGGTTCTAAAAGTCCGGGATTAGCTTACCTCACTTCCTTTTGTGAATGAAAGCTACGCTCTCTCTTCCCTCATCTGACATCAGTCTCTAAGTTGCTTGTGTGAGCTTCACCTATATTCACTACGTCAGCTTGTTAGTCCTCAAAACCCATGATATTCCCCCAACATGTGGGTCTTCTATACTGAATCTCCAAATCTTTAGAGTGAATTATCAATAATATTATATAGAAAAGTACATCTATGGACCACAATCATTCTAAGTGTGACCCACATCCCACCAACTTTAAATTTACACCATCCCCCTCATTTTTGGGATAGAATTTGGGGCACAAATTCATGGTACATAGCATTTGCTGTGAAGTATTGCCAAAGCATCAAAAGATGCACTTGACTGACAACAATATTTTCCATTGTTCCTGTACTAAAGAATTTAATTCTGAAGCTAGTTGCTATATGCAGTATGCACAAAAGTTCAACACCAATTTGTGTTTTATTGATCTTGTTGAGTACTATTAGAAGTAGTCATTGTGGTTAAAAGCATTTTGTATGTAGTCAGAATTTTCAAATGAACATAATTAGGCCTTTACATGTTAGTGAAGAATGTGCATTGGTCATCATACCACTACTCTCGAGAATTGAAGAGAGTACACATAGGTGGTAAAAGATGACCTTTCTCGTTAAAAAACATGTCATTTCACTGTTTTTCTTTTTTCACCTTTTACATGGATCCACGCAACAAATGTAATGTATATTAGTGATGCACAAAAGTGTGTATGGAATGAACATAAGTAACAATAACAACCACGAACAACTTGATCTAGAGAAACATTCTATGTAATTTATTAAATAATTCACCAACAATAATGATTGGATGACCATATATTCTTACCATGTTGTGTTTACCGCCTTATGTGTCGATGAATACTATATTGGTTTAATGGGTCATGAGAGGTGGGACTCATTAAAGCAATATACTATTGACACATAAGGTGGTAAACACAACATGGTAAGAATACATGGCCATCCTAGCATTATTGATTCACCAATATGCATTAACATGCAAGACTCACTATATTCAAAAAAATTATAGAATCTATTATACCACATGACAAGCCACATAAGAGGTGAAAAGGTTTGGTGAAATACTCCTAAAATGATATATAGCATCCATCTTCTCATGACTTTATTTGTTTAATAATACTATAATGACCACAATTTTTTACCATATTAGGTTTTACCATCTCATGTGTTACAACTTCATTGCAAACAAACATCTCATCTATTACAGCTGCATTGCAAACATACATGAGTGGTGAAAGTATGTTTCCAATGCAGTGGTGAAACGTGAGATGGAAAACAAAATGTGAAAAGAAATTTGTGGTCAGTGTAGAATTATTGATATTTGTTTTTTGTATTCTTTGTAAGGCGATTACCTGATGTTCATGTACTCGCGAAGGTATGCCTAACTTTCTACATCACATCTCCACATCTGAAAACCATCAAGTGTTTTTTGGGTGCAAACTAAAGAACTGCTCCATGTTTCCCAAAGAACAGGTCGTCTTACTTCTAATCAGCTTTTGGCATTCCTTATAAAGCAAGAAATGCATCTGCTGCCACCATCCATCAAAAACTGATAACCAGTACTCTCTCTCTCTCTCTCTCTCTCTCTCTATACATTATTAAGTTCAACATGGTTCATATTTGTGGCTGATTGTTATACAACATTTCATCTAATTTTCATCAATAATAAGTTTTGATCACTTTACAAGTAGTATGTTTGGATCTGGCAGAGTAAACCAGAGACAAAACCCTAGGATAATTCAATAAGAAGAGATGGGAAGAGGAAAAATTGTCATCAGAAGAATTGATAATTCGACTAGCAGGCAAGTGACTTTCTCAAAGCGCAGAAATGGATTGCTTAAGAAAGCCAAGGAACTATCAATTCTTTGTGATGCCGAAGTTGGAGTGACTGTCATCTCCAGTATTGGGAGGCTCTATGAATTTGCAAGCCCCAGGTCTCTCTCTCTCTCTCTCTCTAAAATTCTGCATCTTGGAGACTGATATCCCATTATTTATGTTGTTCCTAAATGCTTGTATCTATTTGTTCTATGTTTTTGTTTTGATTGTTTTCTGGTTTAACAGGAAGTTCAATACTTCACAGATTTAGGATTTAAATCTACTGTTTGCCTTACAATGGACTAACATCTACTGTAAGTTGTGAATTGTGATGATCTAGTGAAAGTCTAATCACTTCTGTAAACTTTTTGAAAGATCATAGTCAAACATGCACCTGAATGCCAATACAAATAGAAAACTATCTAGTTTAAGGTTATGCTAAATGAAAATTTTATCAAACAATAAAAGTTGACCATGGAAACATTGCTTAGGGTTTAGCAGATTAGTGATGCATATTTTATGATAAGTTTAAAATTGTATAAAATAGGCTAAGGTCTGTAGAAATTTGATGAGTTATGCTTCTAGGTGATGAGAATTTCCATTGAATAGTGAAAAGGAATGCAATGGCAATGCAATAGATGCTGTAAACAGTTGAGAGTTTTCTTACTATCACTAGTACCCTTATTTGGATGACTAGTGACCCTCTCACATCATGTGTGTGCAAAACAAAGTAGAGGGTGAGGTGGCTTAGGGAGACTGGAAAACTAGACTATTTTGAGATGTAAGTCTTCTAATATTCTTTTCCCAAATAGTTACTAATGGGTACAGTTTAAACAATAGTGAAACTATCTTTTTGGATAATTTTGGTATATGATTTAACATTACATAGCTTCATTTTTGCGTCCACACCAATAAAGGTATTCACTTAATAATATAGCATATAGATAATATGCTATTTTATGTATTTTACACTCCAATAACAAGCATAGGAAGAAAAGGAAAATTTATTAAACTATTAGAATCAGTTGGCATTAGATCTCTTCTTTCACTATCATTATCCAATAACTTCCTTACAATAAAAATTCATGCATAAAAAGGAGAAAATATTCAGAAATTATAATGATATTTCATGAAGAAAAATAAAAAGAACGAAGAGTCAAACTCAAGCCTACATTAGGGAAAAAAGAAGCCTTCTTGATCTTCTTTTTTTTTTTTTATCAGCAAAAAGGAAACTTTATTGATAACAACAACATACATTTCATATGAGATTACATCAATAAAGGAGGGAAGTGCATGAAGCTCAATCATGAGCTAGCACAACTACAAAGGTTGGAGAGGAACCAACACAAGCCAAGGAGAGAAAATAAGAAAAAAGAAAAAATAAAGAGGTGCTGCTGCTGTTGCACCTTCTAACCCAGACACCAAAAACACCCCAGACACTGCTACAATGCACAATACTGCTGCGCCTTCTTGATCTTCTAATTAAGCATTATTGACCTAAATATTGGTGAAATAGGCAGCTCACAACAGAAAATCACTGTCAAGACATACTATAAAGGAGAATACTAAACTTCATTGCTTAATTCCTTCAAGATGCTCCTAACCCTCAAGTCAATTAGAGATTTCTGCAATGCAGTTCAGCCAATAAACCAAGCACTTTTTTTCTTAAACTTTAGTCTACTTAAATAACAATAAATTCAAACGTATGTTAACCCAATTATTATTAACTGACCTAGGCTTTGACATTCAAATTTTGTTAGTGAATTTCTCCTTGCTGCAAATAGATATAATAGGATAACCTGAACATCCAATCTTCAGATGTCACACACATAAACAAACAAACAAGCAACATATTATGTAGTGTGGATCTATGTACCAACAACACACTCATGGACATTAAGCAAGGAAATATATATATAGACATAATTTAACGTTTATAACTGTTCCCTTCTCATTTATTTTCTTTTTTATTGCCCTTTGAACTCTTTTGCACCACCAAGTGTCTCTAGATGAAAGCCTACTCCCTTCAATTCTCCAAAAACTCATTTTCCTACTTTTTTAACTCAACTAGACATCTCACACCACATAATGTTAGTCTTCTCATTTGAAATCCATTGTCTTTCCTTGATCATCCTATTTTCAAAGAGTACTAAATTTTCATTTTTCAAGCTCCATACCTAGTTCCCCTTCTATTTTTAATTTATATTCTATCTCCTAATACATATATCTAATACCGTTAATTTATATTGCGAAATTAAGTTCTCATTACTATTATTTACAATCTCATACATATTCCTCCACCAACCTTTATAACCAAACCAAGCCAAGCCAAGCCAAGCCAAGCCAAGCCTTAAGTCCCATCAAACGGGGTCGGTTACATGAATCCTTCTTCTCCACGCAGCCCTATTAAAGGCCATTGCATTAGTCAAATTAAGTAGATTCATATCTCTATTTAAAACGCTAGTCAACGTTAATCTAGGCCTACCCCGTCCCCTAACACTTCCATCTACCGTTACAGCATCGCATTTCTTCACTACTGCCTCTGTCGGTATCCGTTGAATATGACAAAACCATCTCAAACGATTCTCTCTCAACTTATCTTCTATCGGTGCTACTCCTACCCATTCCCGAATACACTCATTCCTAATCCTGTCTTGTCTAGTCTTACCACACATCTACCTTAGCATCCTCATCTTAGCCATACTCATCTTATCTACATGTTGTTTCTTGGTTGCCCAACACTCCGTCACATACAACATAGCTGGTCTAATAGCCTTTCTATAAAACTTACCTTTTAGTCTAGTGGGTATTCGTTTATCGCACAATACCCCAGACGCACTTCTCCACTTACACCATCCCGCCTTAATCCTATGGGCCACATCTGCATCAATCTCTCCCGCTGTTGTGATAATCGACCCTAAATAACGAAAATGTTCACTCTTAGGCAATTCTTGGTTCTCAATCTTCACTTCTCCTCTGCTTTCATTGTTACTGTTACTAAATTTACACTCCATATATTCTGTCTTAGTTCTGCTTATCCGGAATCCTTTATATATATATATATTTTACTAACATTTTGTTCTACTTTTGAATGTTACTTAATTATCCATCCCTCGTTTTAAAACAAATGCTTGCTATTACACGGTACACAATTATATGCCATTACAAATTATATGATTGCGTATGTATTACCTCCATCATTTCTCATTCTAATCTTTGATCCATTATGGCTGTGTTTGGTTAGAGGATTTAATGAGGGAAATGGAAAGGGAAAGAAAATAGAAAGAAAATGAGAAAGAATTAATAGGATTCGAATTCCAAGCTATGTTTGGTCGAGTTGGGAAATGGAGAAAGAAAGGAGCCTAAGTGAACCAAAAACACAAAGAGTGACTTTCTTTTCCATTGTGTTTTCCACTATAACCAAACAAAGAGTGAGATTGCATTTCCTCTTCCCTTTCCATTTCTCACACCAAATCCTCCAACCAAACATAGCCTATATCCATCCCTTTTTTCCCATTACTGTTCCGATATTCCAAATACCCAAGCACATCCTATTCTCTTCGACTAACTTCTTTACCTGCACTTGGCTATTAAAGTGTTGGAACTGTTGCCTACTTCTCACTGCATCTTGGCTCTAACATACTGCAACTCTAGCCCTCCCTATTTGCTGAGAGAGAGAGAGAGAGAGAGAGAGAGAGAGAGAGAGAGAGAGAGAGAGAATGAAAAATGAAAGAAAAAAATAAACTTAAATACATCGATGAGCTCGAGTCAATAGCCATTAAATTCAGATTTACATCCTTTCCTCCCCAGTGACAATCTTGATAGAAGGAACTCTTGGCCAGACTTATGTTGTTTAAAACATACAAGCTGGTAATTCTTCAGTAGATTGTACAGTTTACACTATGAAAGTAAACAATATTTTTTGTTGTTTTTCCAGCAGAGAAAATCAATATTATTTTGAATGACCATCTTTCAAGCACAACACATTTCTTTGCTTTACTTTTTATTTCTTTCAGGGAAAAAAACCAAACTCATTGTTCAATAGTTTTTTCCTTGCATGCACAAATGCCACACAACTATGATCTAGTAATAAGAAATGTAAGCAATTTAAAAACAAAAAATGTTGAGATCTTTCTGTCTGTTACTAATGACCTCTTCATATGATATAATGCAATGAAGTTCTTGCATTATGAGTTCATAAGTAAATATTGACAAACTGAGCAGCTAATATTCTGACTTTACCTTATCAGCATGAGATCAATATTTGAACGATACAACAATGAGCAGGAGAATCATCAGCTTTTGAGTCCTACTTCAGAAGCCAAGGTATTCTTTCATGAGCAACCCATCTATTACCCAGCAAGCTTTCCTGCATTAGTACAGGATATTCAATTACGTTTTGTTTTTGAATATATTGATTTAAAAGCTAAAATTTTTTGACAGACAGTTCTAATTTTATAGAACTCTTACCATCCAATGGATAGTCACACATAACAGAAAATGAAACTCATACTAGAATCACTTAAAGCTATAAATTACATCAAATTGATACATGTTTTCCTTCTTTTCTATTTTGATGGAAGAAAGTGTTAGGGAATCCATAACATCTAACCAAGATGGGTGAAGTGAAAACACATAAATGAACAAACGCACAAGAAAGATACATCACATGCACACTCGAAGAACACAAGATTTACACAGTTCACCCCAATCTAGGGCTACCTTCACAGCTATTACAATTTTCACTATCATCAGAAAGGTTACAAGAAATCACAAGACATATTTGTCTTCCCTCAACTGCAATACATAGAAAATTAGGGGAACAAGTCACAAGTGTGGAAAGGCATGAGTGGTTAGTGTTCAGTACATATCAACTACGAAGCACGAAACACTACTAATAAGGTCACGGACACACACTCCTAAAACACATGTCCGACACTCTTTTTCAATGTCCATAATGTCCGATACTCTTTTTCATTGTCCATAATTAAAAAAAATTTTTAAAAAAAATCTCAATTTTAGACACGTACCCAACATTCATTTTGTTTTCCATTACTTCTTAGCCATGTCTAACCAAAAAACCAAAACCAAAATCAAAACTAAGCCTTAAGTCCTATCAAATGGAGTCGGCTACATGAATCCTTCTTCTCCACGCGGCTCTATCAAAGGCCATTTTGTTAGTCAAATTAAGTAAATCCATATCTCTATTTACAATGCTAACCAACGTTAATCTAGGCCTACCCCGTCTCCTAACACTTCCATCTACCGTTATAGCATCGCATCTCTTCACTACTGCATCTGTTGGTCTCCGTTGAATATGACCAAACCATCTCAAACGATTTTTTCTCAACTTATCTTCTATCGGTGCTACTCCTACCCATTCCCAAATACACTCATTCCTAATTCTATCTTGTCTAGTCTTGCCACACATCCACCTTAACATTCTCATCTCAGCCACACTCATCTTATCTACATGTTGTTTCTTGGTTGCCCAACTCTCCGTCCCATACAACATCGCTGGTTTAATAGTCGTTCTATAGAACTTACCTTTAAGTCTAGCGGGTATTCGTTTATCGCACAGTACCCCAGATGCACTTCTCCACTTACACCATCCCGCCTTAATCCTATGGGCCACATCCCCATCAATCTCCCCCGATGTTATGATAATCGACCCTAAATAACGAAAATGTTCACTCTTAGGTAGTTCTTGATTCTCAATTTTCACTTCTCCTCTGCTTTCATTGTTACTGTTACTAAATTTACACTCCATATACTCTGTCTTAGTTCTACTTATCCGGAATCCTTTAGATTCAAGAGCCTTTCTCCAAATCTCCAACTTTGTATTAACTTCTCTAGTCTCATCCACTAGTACTATATCCTCTGTAAAAAACATACACCATGGCACGTCATCCTGGATATTTTTTTGTCTTTAACTCATCTATAACTAAAGCAAAAAGATAAGGACTTGAGGTAGATCCTTGGTGTAACCCTACAGTGATAGAAAATTCATTTGTCTCTCCAACAGGCGATCTAATAGTGGTCACCACCTCTACATACATGTCCCTAATCACATCAATGTAACCTTTTGTCACCCCTTTTTTGCTAACACCCATCATATTATATTCCGGGGCACTCTATCATATGCTTTCTTAAGGTCGATAAATACCATATGAATGTCTCTCTATACTTTTCTATTACTCTCCTCAAAAGATAGATCGCTTTCATTGTTGTCCTGCCAGGCATAAACCCAAATTAATTCTCTAACACCTCCGTTATATCTCGCAATCTGCGTTCTATCACCCTCTCTTACACTTTTATTATATGACACATTAACTTGATTCCTCTATAGTTGTTGCAATTCAGGACATCACCTTTATTCTTATAGATTGGCACTAAAATACTCTTCCTCCACTCATCTGGCATGTTCTTAGTCAACAAAATTTTGCTAAACAACCTAGTCAACCAAGCAACCCCCTTTTTACCCAAAGGGATATCATCTGATCTTAAAGCCTTATTTAATTTCATATTCTTAAGTGCAATCTCTAATTCAAAGTTCCTAATCCTACGATAGAACCTATAATCTTGGTTTATCGTATTACCGGCTATTTATTCCCTTATTGTCGTATCTCTATGTTCCTCATTTAATAGTTTCTCAAAATAGTTATTCCATCTTTTAATCTCTTCATCCCTCACCAATACCTTAGAATCCTCACTCTTGATGCACTTAACTTGATTAAAATCTCTTGTTTTCCTCTCCCATATCTTAGCAAGTTTGTATACCCTCTTCTCTCCCTCCTTCCTATCTAGTCTAGTGTATAGATCATCATAAGCTTTCAACTTAGCCTCTCTCACTACTTTCTTGACCTCCTTATTAGCCAATCTATAGCTCTTAAGGTTTTCCTCGGTTCTATCCTTTTGCCACTTTTTAAAGTACTCTTTTTTCGCCTTAACTACCGCTTGAACCTCTTCTCTCCACCACCAAGTTTCCCTAGAGCTGGGTCCCGTTCCTTTCGACTCTCCAAGCACTTCCCTTGAGATTCTCCTCATACAATTGGCCATCGAGTTCTACATAGTGTTAGCATCATCTTCCAATACCCAAATACCTTCTTTATCCATTCTATTCTTAAATATTTATAATTTATCCCCTTTTAGGTCCCACCATTTCGTCCTACGACGCCCACCATCCTTCCTAGCTTGGTATTGTCCTCTAAAACATAAATCTAGTACCAAAATCCTATGTTGAGAGGTCAAGCTCTCTCCAGGAATTACCTTACAATCATTGCATTTTAGGCAGTCCACTTTTCTCACTAAGAAGTAGTCTATTTGGCTCTTAACTGACCCACTCTTAAAGGTTATCAAATGTTCCTCCCTCTTCTTATACATAGTATTGGCCACCACCAAGTCAGAAGCCAACGCAAAATCTAAAATACTCTCTCCAGCCTCATTTCTGTCACCAAAACCGTATCCACTATGCACCCTTTCATAGCCTAGTTTATCTATGCCTATATGGCCATTAAAATCTCCACCTATAACCAAGTTCTCTCCTATGGGTATCTCTTGTAAGATCTCATCCATTTACTCCCAAAAATCCCTCTGTCTGATCATCTAATCTTACTTGAGGGGCGTATGCACTAATAACGTTCACTATATTCCCTCCAATAACTAGTTTAACTAACATAATCCTATCCCCTATTCTAATGACTACCACTACATTCTCCACAAGACTCTTGGCAATTAAGATTCCTACCTCATTCCTGCGTCTATCCTTACCACTATAATACAGTTTAAAACCGCTATCCTCAATTTCCCTAGCCTTCTCACCCGTCCACTTAGTTTCTTGTACGCAAGCTATACTAACTCTCCTCCTAATCATAACATCTACCAACTCCATCGTCTTACCAGTAAAGGTTCCTATATTCCAAGTGGCTACCCTAAACCTATAGTCTTGGACTAGTTTCTTTACCTGCGCTCGTCCAGAAAAACGCGGGAACCTTTGCCCATTTTTCACCACACCCAGGCGTCGATGCGACGCCCCTTGCTCACTTTTCGAAACACCCAGAGGCAGGCGCAATGTGTCACTTAAGGGTAACGACCTAGCATTTAAATGATTCAAAGTAGGATTCATTGTTATAAGGGATCCGAGTGACTTTTTTACGTGTTGGCTGTCGGCTACCTAACACGCAATCCTCCTCCTTAACCCGGGCTGGGGACCGGTGGAGTTGTTAAAAACCCCAACGGAGTTTTCTTAGCCATGTCTATCACTAAAAAATAAATATGAGACCAACACTTCTTGGGAATTTTCTAACACATGATTTTCAAAATTTGAGAATTTGACATAAATATTTTATACCCTTAAAAAAATGTATAGTTATTAAGAATATATCCTATAGAAGTTTCACATAAAATCAAATGAAAAATCAAAAAGATACGTACATGTATTAGCATAGTTTGTTTGATTTTTAACTATTATGATCCAGTAGTCTAAAAATTCATGTAAGACAATTAGATACAAGATTTACTTAGTATCTATTATTAAGTGAAGGCCTCATTTGCTACAGTGAAGCCTTTGCTCTCCTCATGTCACGTGGCAGTAGTTTTTATTTTATTTTTTTAAAAGATATAGAAAGAGGTGGCTTGAACCCATGACCATGGGATTAAGGCAAGAGGACTCATACCACTTAAGTTAGGTATACATTATAATATTAATTTCATTATTATTTTTTTTTTATTCTTACTTATTTGAATTGCGCATGCCACCCGCTAGTAAAGTAATTTTTAATTTTGTATGTATCATGAACATATATAAACTATACAATAGAATATGTTCCTAGATAATATAATATCAAGATATAATTATTTGTGGCTTGTCTGAACTATATCCATGTCCTACTTTTTAGAATTCGCCGTTAACGTATCCGTGTCATGTCGTGTCTTATTTGTGTCCCATGTCCATGTCTATGCTTCATAGCTTATCAAGATCCACACTACCCCAATAGAAAGGCAGGAGCAAGGTGTTCAAACCCTTCAAAAGTCTAAGAATTCCTACAAAAAAAGAAAAAAAAAGAAAAAAAAAAAGAACATCAATAAAATAAAACAAAGGTAATTTTTTTGACAGATTGCTTAAGTCAGGTCTATCACATTTGCTTTTCAATTTTTTGAAATTTCTAGCTTTGGCAAAGGGAGGCAGAAAGCTTAAGGCAACAGTTAAACTACTTGCAAGAAAGCCACAGGTATAATCACCTTTTTCTTTGTCTTATTTTCAATAAATATGATCACACATAAAATGTGTGATCAATGATCATATGTAAACCATAAAATTGCCAAAATTGTATTACATTGCATGTGCAAAAACAAAATATTATATGCTTATTATACATTTTTAACATGTCAATATCAAACCACATTTGTGCTTAGTCACAGCATGATGTAGTACAGCTTTAGAAAACTTGGAACACTGCAATCTACAATTGGAATTTATGGTGGGTTTGGGACAAGGAAAGCTTCTACGTATAGGGTCTACAAGGGTAGAAGAAAGGTTGTATGCTATGGGATTGGAAGGGACTGAGATTAGGTTGCTTTCAACACTAACAGCCTAAGAAATACGGACGCTTCTATGGAGGAAGCGTGTTATGCGGACATGACACTATGAAGACACTCCTAAAAGCATGCATGTCCAACACTTCTTTAACATGTCGTACTTAAAAATTTTAAATTCATAATATCGGACACTTCTCCGACTCTTCGGTAACACTTCTTGAACCCTCTGAATACGACCTATGTGATGAATCTCTCCATGGTAATATTGTGCCTTGTCGGTGTCACACGTCAATGTCTATGCTACTTAGATAATAGCTCGCAGAAGTTTCATAAAAGGTGTTCTAGAATCTTGGGAAAATATTTGCAAGTTTTGATGTTAAATTAAAGGCTATTGGCTAAGGGAAGGGGTTAAAGCTCATAATTGATTGGAAATACTACTAGTTCTACCCTAGTATTCTACATTTCAAAACAAATGTACCAGAAATGGTACATTTCCATTCCAAAACACAAGACAAAACACAAAATTTAGTGATCTGAAAATTTTTTCCCATTTATTGCCCTAGTATTTTCTTATGAGAAAAACACGAGTTATAATGAATTAATATCTTGAAAGAGTGAAGTTCTGCCAAGCAAAAGATCTAAAGAAAAGGATCCATATCGCACCACTAGGCTCATCCTCTATTATCAGAATCTTATGATTCGTGATTCGATTCACAATTCGATTTACAATTTTTACAAAATCAATACGAATCTATTTTGGAAGTAAATTTCTAGTGAATCGCACGATTCACAATCGATTCACGATTCAAGTCACTTTTTACGATTCATGCAATTCTTGAAATTATCAAGTCCAATATATTTTTTACTTTTTATTTCTCTATCTTCTTATTGAAAATAACATAATACAACTTTTAATAGCATTTAGTACCACAATAACCAATATATGTACCTGATTTGTTGTTATTTTAGTGATCATAGAGTTTTTAATAGAATCCAATCAAATTTCGTCAGACCTAATAACCTTTATTCTTTTTTTTTTCTTCTTTGAATAATCATAATATATCTTCTAAAGATATTTAAGATTAAAATAACTTATACCATAAATTATTTATTGCTATTTTATCAAATTAAATATAGTTGCATATTACATGGACGAGGTCAATTATACATTTGAAAATATTTTAGACTTTAAAATAAAATATCCTAAATAATGTTTTCTTATTATTTGGTCAGTGTTACTTGGAAAAAGTATGTATGCTTATTGTCCAAATATTAATATCATTGGCAAATTGTTGTTATTTTGGAAATTGAGAGTTTTTCTTTGTTTACTGTCTTTATTAAGAATGGTTGATAAGAAATATCTAAAAAAAGAAAAAGGTAAGATGGTAATCTTACATAGGAACTTTTGTTAACTACTTACCTATTAAACTACATGATCATCATTCAAAACAACATTTTTATTGATTTAAATCTAAATATTTCATATTCATAAGATATATTTCACATCCAAATGTGTAGATATATTTTTCCAAATAATTTAGAAAAAGTGACCGAACCTTTACGATTCACGATTCAATTCGATTTACGATTTGAATCCCGATTTGACAACTATAGGCTCAACTTATATAGGAGATATAGAAAATGTTTTTAAATAATTAATTTGACCATGAGAAAATTTCAAAGGTATGTAAACATGCATTTTTACATTTGATTAAATGTACAATTGTTAGTTGATAATCAGTCTCACACTTGGAGGTGGATTAATCCATTCCACTAATGTGATCTACATAAGCATACCCTCATGTTCTATATTATGAACCATGTTCTCACTCTTCCAAATGATTGACATTCCAAGTAACATTGATTATAATGTTTCCTCTTATTATACTACTTAATGTGTAGATACAGTAAAAAAAATACTACAAGCATTTAAACAATCACCATTTATAACGCATGGACTCCAAACTAATAGCAGTTGAAAACTTTAAATTGGTTGACTTCTGGCTTTATCCTTTGTGCACAAACCAGTGAAAAGATAATGCAATAAAGTATAAAGTCCTTGTGCATCACAAAATAAAATATTTTATGTATAACCATTTCAGGACACACCTATAGAATCCCAGAACTTCACCTACACTTCCACTGTGATAATAATTTCAGAAAATTGACGGGAGAAGAACTTTCGGATTTGAGTGTGGAAGATCTGGAAAGTCTGGAAGGCCAATTGGAAACGAGCTTGAAGGGTATCCGAACAAAAAAGGTACAAAAAATTTAGATGCTATGCAATTTATTATTCAATGATATTCAAGTTACAAAATACAAAACACTTATGTGATCCTTATTTGGTTTTTGACTTCTGCAGCACCAAATTTTAACTGAAGAAATACAAGGATTAAACCACCAGGTCTTCTCAAAATTTTACCACAAGTAGTACCAGTTTCTGTTTAGGGGCCGATTTTACTCAGAGTAGCTAACTTCAACTGATTCCACCGCAGGGAGTTATTAGTCATCAAGAAAATATGAAATTGTATAAGGAGGTTAATGTCCTGCAACGAGAAAATGCAGAATTACATAAAAAGGTACCGACTGTTTGTATTGACTTTAAATGTTAATTTAAAATAAAGAACTTACATACTCGATTTTATTTACAAATTCATCCAATGTGAAAGTTGTTTTCTACAAAGCCTAAGAATTTCTGTTTCAGGTTTATGGAGCAAATGACATAAACAGAAGTTCCTTCAAACCATATGGTTGCAGCAATGGATATGACTTACATGTACCTATACAACTGCAACTAAGCCAACCGCAACAAACGCACAATGAAACACCAGAAACGCAAGGAATCTAGGGTAATCTTTCTGCTAGGTACTCTGAAGAATTAAATCAGAAACTAACAGTACCAGATCATATTCTTTTAACATTAATTCTGTCACATCTTCCAAATCACAGATGATTACAACTGCCTTAACAAAGCAGACAGACAACCGTGGAGGATATAGTCAATTTTCATCAACTACTTGCCCCGGAGTGACAAAAATCATTGTTTGCAAACAAGATTGTGTGTGTAAGATAGTGGAAAAGAGACATTCAGTATAAACATCATCAACTTTGTAATGATATGGTACTTGGATTAAACTTAAGATTGTTGTGGTATGATCAATCACCCACCAACTTATGTAACAATTAGAAATAATGAGAAGTTATTTCAGGGTCCAGGTAAAATTTTAGATGTTTTATTATCAAGATTTTTAAAATAGACCAGTTTTGCATAGCTTTGCACAGTTTGACCCCCACCAATTCAACACTGAATTTTCCATACGTAATTTTCAGTTTTATCGAGCAGCCTCTAAAATGATTGGAAAGTTAGGGATGATTAGTTAGAATTCTTTAGGCTTATTTCTTATTACAATTGAAAACATTTAGTCATTACACAATAGGATTATGGCTTACAAAAATAAGGCCATGAGTTTATGTATTAACAATAACACTTTTCACCAAAAAAATAAAACTGTTTTCTTTTTAGTCTAATCACCCTCGCCGAGTCTAAAAGCGCGATTTGACTCAACGATAAGATTGTGTATATATATTGCTTCGTGCAGTGGGTCGTCTTTTTTTTTTTCAGCCCTTGAACTAAGTTAGATTCAAATCTCTCTCTGTTTTATAATTTTTTTTAAAAAAAATCCCAATTTCATTAGATGGGATTGTGTCAATTTTGCAAATAACAAGTCCCTAAAAGAGAACCAACAAATATAAATATACTATCAATCACTGACCGCAATGGCATATAGAAAAATGCCTGGTAGCTCCACAAGCAAAGGGTTCAAGGCCCGAATGTCTCACTCTCTTTCTCTTTCTCTTTCTTTGTTTTTCTTTCCCTTTCTTTTTCTTCTCTATCTCTCTCCTTCTCTAATAGATTTTCTCTCTTCTCTGTATCTCTCTCCTTCTCCAAAAGCATCCCTCTCATGCCTGAGAGAGTTTGCAAATTCTGATTCGATTTCACTGGAGAGGAAACACGATCTGTGGCTGTGTCAACAGATTTGGGCTTATTTTTTTATTTTGATTGTGGGTTTGGTTTTGATTTTGGATTTTGATTTTGATTCTGAGTTTGGATTCAGAAAACCCCAAAATCAACATAACGAAAATGATTAATTTCAACAAACAAATGATCTATTGGTTGTGTTATGATTTGTATTGTTGTCTGGTTTTTGTTGGTTTTGAAGGCGTTCTGATATATATGCATACACACACTGATATATATATATATATATATATATGTATTGTGAACACTGATATTGGTTTTATAGCCGGCCGGCCATAAAAAAACCGCTGGCCAACTTTGAGCTTGATTTTTCTTGTTCTGTTCTGCTGCATTTTTGTTTGCTTTTTTTTTTTTTTTTTGAAATTGTGGTTGTGGGTTTGGTTTTGATTTTGGACTTGGTTTTGATTTTGGATTTTGATTTTGATTTTGATTTTGGGTTTGGTTTTGATTTTGATTTTGATTCTGAGTTTGGATTCAGAAAAGAACAGAGGAAAAAGAGGAATGAAAAGGAGAGGGGAAGGAAGAAGAGAGGGAAAGCCAGCTTTTTGGCTTTTTAGCCCAAAAAAAAACAACTTTTTATCAAAAAAAAAAAAGTCACTAAAACATTAAAAAGTCAATTTTTTTTTGCCAACTTCTCAAAACACTCAAATATTAAAAATTGTACAAAACACATGATTTACAGAAGAGACCCAAAAACTTACAAAGTTTGTTGACACCCTTACAATTTATCCAATAAAATAGTAAACTATGTATGTCATATAATTGCAAACAAACAAACCAAGTCAATTTAGCATAAAACCCTGAAACAATTTTATATTTAAATATAACAACAATATAATAAAAATGACAAAAAGAATGCATTGTCTTACCTGTTGAGCGTAGATGCTTGGGAGATCTCATAGAATAAACAAATGGGCTACAATTGACTGTCAGATCCACGAATCATCCATGTTTAGGCCTTGTGATGTGTACGGAGTTCCATGTTGTATGTGTCTCGGGGTGTTTGTATGTATACCCCATATGGGATTCACAGAGTACAGAATGGTCTTCTTCATGCACAGTGGTGATTTTTTTAGGGCATAGCACGGTGCCCATTTGGGAATTTGAGAATTTTTTTCTTTTTTCTTTTTTCTTCAAAAAATTACGTTCAACCTTCTTATAAAAAAAATTTCTCACTTTTATTAATAATTTGTTAATTATATAAATACAAAAATAATATTCAGTGGGTTTAGTTTAGGTTTTCTGAAAATTAAGCTTTTTTTTCCTTTTTTTTTGTTTTTAATAAATATTTTTAAAATTTTAAACATTTTTTTTACTTTTTTAGATGTATCTTACTTAGATGTATCTAAAAAGTAAATATTTATGAAAAATATTTTTAAAAATTAATAAATAGACAAAAATATGACAAATATACCGATTTTTTATACTTTTGGTATTTAGTAGATTTTTTAAAGATTTTTTTTCGCAAAAATTATACTTTTTAAGTGTATTTATGTTAGGTGTGCCTAAAAAATTTTAAAAAAATGCTTAAAATAATAAAAAAAATTAATAAAAATAAAAAATACGAAAACAAAAAAGTAAAATTTTCTCAAAACCCAAACCAAGCAAATTTATTTTTAAAAATTTTAAAAAAATCAATGATATATTTTTAAAATATATAAGTGGATTCAAATTTAAAAATAATTAATGAAAAAATATTTTTAAAAAACCAAAATTCAAATATGAAATTTTTGAATTTCTAAAGCAAAAAAAAAGCAATTTAATTTTGATTCTATTTTTTTTTTCTTTTCTTTTCTTTTTAAGCATCTCAACATGAATAGGGTACAATTCAAACGAGTTTAGTCGGATTGAAAGATTGCCAAAGACTAGCTTGAGTTGTGTTGCGAGTTGCCCAGTGCTACTCAAACCCGAATTATAACGAAAGATTGTTTGTCTAAATCTGACTTGAGTTATTGCCCGAGTTGTCCAAATTATCTTAATTGCACAAAAAATATGCATTTTTTTCCAACTAATTTAATTAATTTATTAAATTATATTATATTATTTTTATTTTTTTAAAATCATCAATAACATCAAACTAAATAATTTATAAAGAGTTAGAGAGGTAAAAGTTGAAAATAAAAATTGAAAATTTTATATGCCGTTATGTTGGTCTTTATAATTTTTAAATGAGAAAAAAATAATTTTATATTGTATTATTTGTGTTTATAATATATATTTAATATAATATAACAATATAAATTACTTTAACGCCATTCTAATAATTTTTGTATACTTACTATTATTATAAATTTAAATATATAATTTGGCAGTCAGTTTACTCTGATTATTTAGCATATTTGTTCAAACTAGTTCAAATTTAATCCAAAATTATAAATTTTTAGTCAAGCCAACTCAAAATTTAAAAATATTTATGAACAAATAATGATAGTAATCTCATTAATTCAATTCTTGTGTCATTTTGATATATGTAATTTCAGTTGACTCAATAATTCGAACAGTTTATATTATAAGATTCGTTGACTATATAATCAATGCAAAAAAAAAATTGATTTGACATCTACAACTTAGTAACAAAAGCATATTTACTTTTTAAAAATAAACGATTAACATGATCTTAATAATTTTTTTAAAATTTAGAATTTGATCACAGGATTGCAAATTTTCAATTAATTTGATTTTTTTTTTTTTTTGTTATGAATGGTATATTCAACAAATCCTATGTGTTGAATGGTTTAAATTTATATTAAAAATTAAAAAAAAAAACACTTGAGAAAAGGCTCAATCGGGACACCCCTTGTTGTGATCTAATTATTTTATGTCAAAGCCATTTTTTTTTTTAAAACTGGAACACAAATGTTATTAGTAATTAGACCAAAGTAATAAAAAAATAAAAATTAAATTAATTAAAAATAAAAGAATTAAAATAACACAAGAGGTATAGATTATAGGAACACATTTTTCTGAATCTTTTAAAAAAAAAAAAAAACCGAGGTTACTCCTAGGTTTAACCCACTCAACTAGCGCCCCTAACCAAACCAAAAAAGTTGTTCTCTCAGCCGGCTCTGCTACAACATTCCCAATGACTCTCTGGCTCCTCCGGCGATGGACTCCGAACTTGTTCAACCTAAATCGAAGTTTCCGATCAAACTCTGGGGGCTTTTCTCTAAATAAACTAAAATACCAAGCTATTTCCCAAACTAGGCCTAGTTTGGACAGATTTCCCAAACTAAGCTGAAAACATGGTTAGAAACCACGCTTTCACCGTTTTTGTAGCCCAACCACGAAAAATTTGTAAAATCGTAAAAGCGTAGTTACAAACCATGCATTTAATTAGGAAAGCGTGGTTACAAACCACGTTTTTAAGGAAATTTGATTTATATGGAAAGCGTTGTTTCTAACCACGCTTTTAAATATATATATTTTTTTTTCAGAAAACGTGGTTCACAACCACGCTTTTAAATAATTTTTTTTTCCCTAGAAAACGTGGTTCACAAATACGCATTTAACATATATTAAAATGTAAACAAAATAAAAGTTAAATGCGGAAGTAGCTCAAATGGTAAAGTGCTTATCAGCCTGCAAGATACACAGGGTTCAATCCCCCCCTATCTCCAAACTCAAATTATTTTTCAGATTCAATTCAATTCTTTGGTTTTTTTTCTCTCCTTTTCACTTATTCTATACTTTATCTATTTATTATGCAATTTTTTTATCCAAAAAAAAAGTAAAGGTAATGTTTGGTCCAGTTTTAAAATTATGATTTGAGAATACAGTTGTATTTTGAGTTTGTGAGTTTTGAAATTATGATTTGAGTGTGAAAAATTTGTTTGGATATGAGTTTTGAAAGGAGTTTTTAATTGAATTTGAATCTCCAAACTCAAATTATTTTTCAGATTCAATTCAATTCTTTGGTTTTTTT